GAGCCTCCCGTCCGCTTACCACGAACCCGCAGTCAGTGCGGATGAACGCGGGGATCAACAGCAGATCCAGCATCAGCATAACCTGCATCACGTGACACCACACAGGAAAGCAAAGAACGATGTGTTACTTGTTATTCCAGTGCACACCACCTCTCCGTTGGCTTGTGGATCTAACATAGCACAGTGGCTTGACGCACCCAGAACGGCTAACCCCCCGCGACCCACGGGATGCTGACATATCTACTGCTGCTGCTGTTGAACGACATACTGACACCCTGCTGCTGCTGCTGCTGATAGCCGGAGTACACATGTCCAAGCCACAGCAACGATACCTTTTAGCTGCGACATGCACTCACTTGCGATTGCGTGAAACGTAGAAAGTTGACGCAGTCCTGTGGGCTGAAGAATGCTGTCGCGTCCCTACGTGCGATACTCGTGGGCGTGTCGTCGAGTTCCAGGCGGGCCATCGCGTAGATGAAAGCGATGTTGTACACGAACCATAGATCGGTGTAGACTTCGAATAGATTACGGCATCGAAGCATGACCGAAGCACGTTTTTTGCGCTCGATTCGTTCGCGAATACGTAGGCGGGACATGGTAGCCTCGCCCACACACTCAACAGTGGGAGCGCTGCAGAGGGCTCTGTCAAGAGACAGCTGTTCCCGCAGCAGTGTTGGTAAACTCGTGGCTTCTGGGGAAAAGATGTTATATTGTTGAGATCTTGGACCAGGAGAACAGGTCAAAAGGTGAAGTGAGCAAGGGTGGGGAGCACCACAGCACCGCAGCCACCACCCGTGTCGCTCGACCAACGCACAAAAGCAGAACACAATGATATCGGAACACAAAAGACTCAACAGACAAGGGCTAACGTACATAACAACATACCATGAATCCTCTGACTGATGCACTATCCACAAGAAACACACTCGGGGTAATGCACCATCCACGAAGAACATTCCCACAGAACGTTCCTTGCTGTTCTGATAATATGTGACTGCTCAACGATCTTCAACGAAGACAGTCCAGTAATGCAACCTGTCTGATCAAGTTGTTCTACGTCACTCTGTCGACACACACAGCAGCAACTATCACGAACACCCTCCCCTGGGGCTGTTGTCTCGACCAATCAAATGTATATCAGAATAACAACAGCGAAAATAGAACACAACTCAGGTCCCTAGACTAATTCTTAGAAATCAAACCTAGAGCAAAATTACGATGAATTTCAAAAAGATCCCTCGGCAGCGCCTTCGTCAGAATGTCCGCATGCTGTACTTCGCTAGAGACATGCCTGATTTCCAACACTCCCTCCTCTGTCAAATTCCTGAGAAAATGGTG